CCCCAAAACCCCAAAACCCCAAAACCCCAAAACCCCTTAACTGAGGTGGTATTGGGTGAATAATAAAAATATGGTTTACTTTAGTAAAGGCATACAAATGTGCAGGTAACTTCTGTGCCAACTCCTTCTTGAGATTTCAGATTTATATTCCCTCCTAATTTCTGACAAAGTTTCCTACAAATAGTCAGACCTAGTCCAGTTCCAGTCTTGTTTCGATTATGGTCGGAACTAGTCTTTCCAAATAGTTTAAAAAGAGAAGATAGGTCTTTTTCTGGTATTCCTATTCCAGTATCTGAAACTGTCATTTCTACCTTAAGCTCCCTAGTGAATTCTGGATGAATTGGTTCTTCCTCTTCAATTCTAACAGTCCTTGGAAAAACTCTCCTTTTCTCAAGCGTTCATGGGTCAGAATCAAATTTAGAGGGATTAGTATTAAAACTATAATGATTTGAACAAAAGTTGATTGCAAGGACTGGCATCTCATCAAAAATATCATCTAGCCCTTCCGAAATTATACTTTTTGAAAGATCACCTAAATCTTAGACAAGGGAGTTACATCCATTCCAGCTGAGCTTATTTTCATAAGCCATCTCTTATTGGCTTAATTCTTAATTGAACATCTATCGAGCCTTGATCAGTGAACTTGACCGAATTTGATACTAAATTCATCAAAATCTGCTTAACCCTTTGCTTATCAGTTTTGATTTTTTGGTTTTGAAAAATATTATCCATTTTGAAGTTGAGGCTGACAGGCTTCGTCTGAACCTGCATTTCAAAGATGTCTTTGATCTCATCAAAGAGCTCTTTAAATGTAAATTCTGACTGTTCAATTTGAAAAACTCCAGCTTCGATCTTAGAGAAATCCAAAATATCTTCAACAAGGGTTTTCAAAATGTCACACGATGAGGAGGCGATTCGATGGAACTTCAGTAATTCTCCACTCAGATGATCCTTCATTAAATACAGAGAGAGCCCCATGGCGTTGAGAGGAGTCCGGAATTCATGAGATACATTGGATAACATCTGCCTCTGATAATTACTCTGGGCTCTAGCTTCTTCAAGCAGAGTGATCTGAGTAGTGTCAATAAACATTTGTAAGAAAGTTGAACTCTTCTCATCCCCTCCAATTACATCAATCTTAGAAGTTTTAACGATGAAATCTCTGTGTACTAACTCAGTACCTTCATCGAATATGCTGGAGTCGTAGGTTATACATACCTTTGTGCTCCTTTCATTAAATTGTTCATGCATGCTTAACTCTCTTTCATCTTGAAGGAATGTAGGCAATGAGAGCTGCATATATTCTTCCTTTTCTACATCAGGGTTGTTTCCTTTTGACTCTTCAATTCTCTTACTCTTGATGCGGACCTGGAGTTTGCTAAGTATATTATCGATGAAATCCTTTGAGTCTTGAGCACTTAGTGAATCTCCTGATGCTTTGTGGTAAATTTTTTCAAAGCTATCTTCGATTGATTGCTTCATTTCTGCCAAGCGATCAATCTTCTTACCACAATTTTGGAAAATACTGAGGTCTAGCGTGATTTTTAGCTTCTGGTTGATAAATTTTAGTTTATTCCCTGGGTCGTTCATAATGATAACGCCTTCTGGAAGTCCTTGAAGAACCTTGTTTAGCTGTGCAGATACTTGCTTTGCTTTGTATGTTGATAAGAACTCCTTTTTAGAGGTCCGATAAACCAAAAAGGCAGTAAATACAAACATAAAAAGGGCAAACACAATTGCAATTTTCAGAGTAGGCGGCACATTTTCAAAATTCATATCAAGCCTTATCATTAGGTTCAAATATATCAATATCACAGCAATTGATGGCACCTTCCAGTCTGATATAACTCAGGTTGACAATAAGATGGAAACCGAAAAATGTACTAGAAATCCTTCATAAAGCCTATACATCTCTTAGAACAGAACTAACTTATCACCAAACGAGTTAAAATTTTAACTAGTTATAATATCCTGAAACATCTCGTAATTGAACTAAAAATTACAAATTTTGCAGATTCAACTTCAAAGTATCTCTATCCTAGGCTAATTTTGACAAATTTCTTCCAGTTGGGCTCTTAATCTAGCAATGCATGAAATATAAAAGTTTATAACAAAATTCATGAATCTCAAAGAAACTGGTGAACTATAAAATGGCTACATCTGCCAAAGATTATTCAAAATTATAGAAAGGAGGATCTATCACATTACCTGAATTTATTTTAGTGAGAGGTTCACTTTAGTCATGAAAAGTCCAAGGATAACTATGATCACCACTGCTCCATATTTGGCTATAAACTTACTCCTCCGAATTGAATAATCTAACCCGAAGAAAAGTAAGATCAGTAAGAGGGGAATGACTCTCTTTATTGATGGCTCATCCTGGTTGTCGAATTGGAAAAGGACAAATATAATGAAGAATATAATCTTGAATATGAGTAAGAGAAATTTCCAGTTTATCCTGATAGTTCTGAGGACCTGCTGCTGATATATTGCTTCCACTTTGGATTCGCCAAAGTCTATGTCATGGAAAGCCCATCTATCCTGGATATCTTTCCAAATCCAGTTATTTTTAAGAAGCATATGCATATTTCTTCCTTGAATGATTTAATATAATTTATAGTTCAAATAATAACTAAACTTCCGGGGTTTTGGGGTTTTGGGGTTTTGGGG